CCCCCGCTTTAAACATTTACACGATCCTTATTTCCTTGCTCTCGGCCATGTTCAGTAGGGGTGCGGCGCTGCGTGGAAGACAGGTGTCGTCCATTTAATGCAGTTATTCGTAATGATAGCCATATGTCTTCATACTGAATCTGTTTGTCGGCAGGCAAGAACACATTAGCAGAGATCAAAGATCATCAGCATACGTGCATGAGTTTCGTTGAAACAATTAGGGATAACGATTAAAATTACGCCTACTCTGAACACTTGCGTTCGAATAAATGGATGCGAGACAATCTGTCATCGTAATGGAACAACGAATCCACGACAATTACATACTCTAACATATTCTACTTTGGGGACCACTAGCCAATTCCCTTGATTTTTTATGAACATTTATAAATTTCAATGGCAGTTGAACCGAACCAGCCTATCAACTAGCACAATGACGTCATTTGAAAATATTCCAGGAATGTTATTTCAACTTATAAACCTCTCTTTTGAATTGTGAAATATATAAAAATGAAGGGAATGGTATTCATTCTTTGCGAATTTATTAAATACATCTTGTTCAATTACCAGAACAGTAGCTTAGATTAATTGTCTACTAATCAACATTCTATAACTAATATACTTTTTGTTGAATTAGTCACCACATCGTGAAACCATGGGCTGGTTCGACTGGCAGGATAAGGGTCAAAGCGTGAGGATCAGTGCGCCCTCTAAGTCGATACGGCGCGCCATTAACGCGCAAAGATTTGCTCATACGTAACTAGTTTCAGTTTGTTATACACGTTATTGACGTAACAGAATATCATACATTTATACAGTGATTTTAACAAATATTTTACTATAGTTATAGAATTTGTCATTGAGTAAAATAAAATTCGTATTTTATAAACCTGGTAAATGTAAATACGAAAGAAATCAGGGGCCCGAACACCCATTTTATTGAAGACCGCGTTCCCCCTAACAGTCAACAAGCTGACTCAACTTGATAAGTTTGCGGGTACCATTTTGACTTTTACAAAATCAGGCACACAGCCCCCCGACGTTATTTTTAGTTTGTTGTTCTGTTTCTTCTGTTTGATCCTAAACACTGGCAGTTGAGATGAGACGGTCAATAATGCTAACACGTAAATTGTTCCTTTTTATAACAACAAAATAATCCACATAAACGTGAACAGAACATCAACTCCGAAGTTCGGATATATTACAAATCAAATCAACTAGCCACTTATAAGTAATCCGTCATTTCCATTTGAGAGATTTGACGTTGTCATGTTCTATCATATTATCTATTGGTTTCTATGTCACGCTCTGTCACGGTAGCTATTTATTGAATTCTAAATTCTATACCCAGAACCCGACCTTATTCAAAAAATCTACCGAACTGTAATTAGTTTTAGGAGAATTAGAACCAAATGACTTATTTGATCTGGTAACGATACACCGACTGTCACGGGACAGATTTAACCGATACATTGAGAGCAAATATTGAACAACTTAAATTGCTTGACGTTTTCAGTTCTTACATACCCTTATACAATATTGATATTTTACTTCAAATGTATTGACTTACTAGTAATCATGTTGTAAGACTATAGCTACGTACGTCATCGACTATTGTTAAATGCTACAGTGTATCACATTTTGTTTCCCACGTCTGTCTGTGTATGGGGAGTTCTGAAGCGACCCTGACCGGAAATGACGCGATCCCTCAAGTAGAGTCAAGTTGTTGAATAGCTAATCGTTTGACTGAGTCATACTATCGCGACCACAAACCCATTCCTTTGATTTTTATATTTATTTTGTGAATTTCAATGGCAGCTAAATCTCGACAGTTCGCAATGACGCCGGAAATTACGTCATTTGAAAATGTTCTTTAATCGGTCAAAGCCGTGTAGAAACTAGTTTTAGTTTGAACTGTAAGATAAAATATTATTTGTAAATATTTATCAAAATCAATAGAATGGGTTTGTGGTCGCGATAGTATTTTCACGTGACTTCCACAGGGTTGGACATACGATCAGTGTTGTATATAAGGAATAATGGCGTAATTATTCTTGACTGTCTTCATGCACGTGCGCTGGGAGCGACAGGATCATTTCTTTCTTTTCCCGCGCCATGGATATAGTTTTATTTGTTGTGTCTGTGTTAACTACTGACATTTTGCACATTATGTAGGCATTAAAATTTAAAGCGCTGTCACTGAAAAAAATAAACAAACAAACAAATAAATAAATAACAATAAATTGAATATCACACACATCCCCCAGTGGTATGCAGTCGCATGTCATTTTGAAAACTTGATGTTTTTTCTCCAAGCATAGAAATCACAGACTAATTACCGCCTAAAGCCGTATTATGAACACACGTGCTGTGACTGAGTTGACTCGTATGATTGTGGACGATCGGTTGGAGCTTTCAAATATAATGGTGCCTGTTTTGGGTTAATCTCCGACGTAAAACGTCGAAATTTTACCAAATCCAAAAATTGAAGTTGATTCAAAATTTTCAAAATAGAAGGGACTCTATGATTCTGATTGTAGTGTGTTGCCTTTAACGAAGATACTATCACGTCTCGCATTCATGGGTCATGTGACTGAGTCTTGATCTGAAAAATAGTCGCACGAGACCACAACAAATGAAAATAAGGTTTTAACTTATTTAAATTTGCTGCAATGTTGAATTTAATAAGTGATTTATTTATAAGAGAGTGGTCGATTTTTATTGAGATCGTGGGATTGATTCTTTTCGAATGAACAAATGACGGAGAGAATTTTACCAATGTTGGTATTTCAAGACACCTTCGGGGTTTAATGAAAATGTCACATGAAATAATTCAATTCAAAAACAAGTTTGGATGAAAAAAACAAATTGCACGATAAGCTGTATGCCATGGCTGGGAAAGCCAATATGACGCGTCACTAACACACAACGAATCGATGTGGCGCAACTAGTTATATTTAATGAGATGATGATTCGTTCGAGTTACGAGCATCGAGTTACGAACACATCGAGTTACAAAAATAACCACACCCATATGTTATAAACCACGCCCACTTTTGCGAGACCTCGTCCAAATTGTAACTCAATGTTAAATTATCAGTTAACCAACCATTGAGTTACAAGCAATATATATTTTTGTTTTGTTTAATGTTCAAACTTAGTAGCTCGATTGTTAATTAACGAATTTCGAGTTATGGAAAACATGAAAAGTTAAACAAAGTAAAAAATATATGTTGCCCGTAACTCGAAGTTCAGTTAACTGTTACTTACTAAATGTTAACGTTAAACAACAATGTTAACTGTTAATTGAACATCGAGTTATAATTTGAGCGTGGTTTTGCAAAAGTGGACGTGGTTTCTAAAATATGGGCGTGGTCATTTTGGTAACTCGATGTTTTCCGTCGTAACTCGATGTTCGTAACTCGATGTTCGTAACTCGATGTTCGTAACTCGATGTTCGTAACTCGAACGATTCAACATCTCTGTATAATTTGTATTTCCCAATATTCTCATGTATTGATCACGACTCATATATATTATGGAATCGGTGAAATATTTTTATGTGTTAAATGTAATATGTATCATTTTGTTTATTTTTAGAATGCAGCGGACGACGAAATGATGCAGGAAAAAAGATACAAATGGGTCGTACCTGGAATGGGCTCAAATACCGCGTCAAATAAAGGATCGGGACGCAAGCGCAGTGACGCTGAAGACGATGCACAACAATTTTTCAGTGCCTTACATGTAAGCCGTCTATTACCAATTGATTTCCAATTCTTTAGCATTTCATAAAAGCGCTGAAATACTGTTTTTCACAATATCAGTTAAATGTTATGGATTTTATAGATCTGTGCCAGATGAAATCCCTCACGTGTTTAGTGTTTCTGTTGGTTCGTGTCAGTGGAATTCGGTGCAAATTGAGAGTGGTCTATTATTTAAACTGGGTATAGAAAAATTAAAGCGAAGAAGTCATCCATGTGCATACGTCAGATGGCCATGGCGATTCATTGTTTACAAACAAGCGTCTACTCATGGGCCTTTGCATTTTTAGCGTGTGTTGCACAGTCCCCCAACACCTCAGTGTGTTGTCATCGCTTGGGACTCAATTCCCGTGCGTGCGCAGGTGACGACCCTCCCGCTTTAAAATCACAGACAAAATCACATGAGATTGACTACATGAGGAGGGTTGTTTATTTACCCGTATATTTGATTATTTGCACAGGCTCTATTGCGCGTTTTGTCGTCCGTGGAATTTTATTATTCTTTTGGTCTACGCAAGCTCAATTCCTGGGCACAGACGTGACTATCTCCTGGAATTAGATCGTCATCGTATATCACCCTGTATTGCATTCTTTAATCTTTGTTGAATACATATGAATACACCTGCCACTCGAGGCGACCTGCAATGTATCACGTCTGTAATTGATGGTGCTCCTAACGCTTACAGGATATCCGTCAATGGTTTAGTACATAGTTCAAATTACTTATGACGTAATCTGAGACTCATTCGCGGGAAATCGGAACTGACATGTCGTACTAATCGATTTGATGAAGAGTTTCAATTCGTACTGAGAGATTCATAACTGTATGTGGACTGTCGACAATTACTGGTTTTAAATAAAATGATTTAATCAAATGCCGCCATTACGGCCCTCGGCATTTCACAAACGCATTACAATAAATCATTTTAGTTAAAAAAAAAAAAAGCATTAGACCAGAAGGACATTCAACAGACTAAAATGTAGCGACAGGCGCGGGGTTATGGTTTTCTGGTCGAACACTTCTAGTAACACCATTGCCGCATTGCATCCAGTCGTGTGACGCGTGTTTGGGGCGCGCCACTAAATCCGCCCGAACTTGAAGGACGGTTGTCGTCACGGTCGCGAAGTGTGTGGTTTGATTTACATGTAACCACAGTTCCTATATCGGGATAGAGGGACTGTGATGTGACCAAACAATGTATTTTACACGCGTTGTGTACGTCGCTACGAATCCAATATCGAACATGATGACGCGGTGTGACGATCACGGCCCTTCAACATAACGTTACATGCTACCAAGGGGAAATGCACCTGCCATTTTTCTCTGTATTTCGGTTATTTTTCAGTTGCTAATATTTGAGGTTCGGGGTTGATCTATGTCTTCCATTCACTCATTATGTTTATATGACACAAGGGTCCGTTGCCCAGGGATATCCCAGGCAATTTAAAATTGTTTCAGAGAAAATACAGTGCATAAAGCAATGAGTTATCATTTGGACAGCGTTGAGACAAAGTGGGGCTTTTATTTCCTCTCGCGTCACCTACTTTTTAGGGAACCAATCAAAAGTATTGTACCATGAACGGTGTGGAACAACTTTACAAAATTACACCCAAAGTTCAAAAAACGCATTATATTCGCCCAAATAACATTCTCAAATAAAAATAATCATATCATGGCCCCTTTCCGAGGATTTTTGTTTCCGTTAATTATAAATACAAGTCAATTTTAACATACATTATTTTATATTTCAATTAGTGGCAAGATAAATAAAGTGTTGTTAGATAATAGTGATTGGTCACCTTGAGGTTTACGGCACGTATATGTTACGATGACAATGATTGGTCACATTACGATTTACGGGGCTTTTATGTTACGATAATAGTGATTGGTCACCTTGCGGTTTACGGCACGTATATGTTACGATGACAATGATTGGTCACATTACGATTTACGGGGCTTTTATGTTACGATAATAGTGATTGGTCACCTTGCGGTTTACGGCACGTATATGTTACGATGACAATGATTGGTCACATTACGATTTACGGGGCTTTTATGTTACGATAATAGTGATTGGTCACCTTGCGGTTTACGGCACGTATATGTTACGTGTACATTTATTGGACGAATTATTCTAGGCCACTACTCGTAAATCAGCGTCGCACGTCACAAATTTTAGCAACATGTTTGTCGTGGATACGGTTTATCGATGTCTAAATTTTCCGTGTATCGTTTTCAATAAGTAACTGTAGTGTATCAATTGATTTATATCGTGTGCGATCAATGTTAATATTACTGTTAACAGTTCAGTTTTTAATCCGATTAAAATCTGACGTGTAGGTTGATGCTTCGGTCACGTTTGATATACGACGGCCAATGTATGACGGTGACGTTGCCTCTGCCTCTATACATACAAATCGCCGTTCACCGCGAGATCTCGCGTAATGCGTGAAATACGGGGTTCGAGCGTCTGCGGCAAAAACAAAAAAACGAATGATTTAATTTTAAACTTAAATTTTCCTTTTTGTAGTTTAATGTCTAAATTCCCATCTTTCAGAGATGAATATGGCGTTGAGGTATCTTAATCCATCAAAACTGACCATTATAAATGTGTAAACCACATTATTAAGCGTGAAAATACCCCCCAAATAGTTTTGCGTCTGTCGGATCTCACTATGTCGCTATGACCGTTGTTTGTCCAGTTTTTACGTTCGATACTAGTATCTCGCCTAACGCGGGATCTCGTAGTGAACGGTAAATGTCTTATTAGAATACGCTTTACTAAAACAGGCAAATGTTACCAGCGACGTGTAGACCGCCGTACAACACATGTTTGAAACTCATGTAAATAAACGATGTAATTTAACCGCTTTGTATACGTCGGATTCATATCAACACGACCGTAGTACAAACCACGACCATCGCTTTTTAAAAACGACCTCAGCCTCTACTTACTCTAATGTTTAATCAGATTACTCGATATTAAATAAAAGAACAATTTTATGACAATAACTTTACTGAATATGGATATTCTACATGTAGGCGTGCTAATCAATATTATTAGTATTATAATATTATACATCTGTCACCGTATTAACGCCATAAGTTACAGCGTGCCGTAATTTTGCGGTATTTTACGGGGTATTTTCATACTACCATATTAGGAAATGCGAATTCCAAATATGGAATAATTACGCGCGTAAGCGTTCTATAATAATAAAAACAAACATGGCTGCCACCAGGATTTGACCGGACTCCATACAAAGAAGTTCGCTGATTCTGTTCTAAACTTTTTGGATTTCGGCATTTCCATGATGTATCCTTGGTAGGAAAAGATGTATAATAATAAGGTCATTACGAAGATACCTCAAA